GTGTCAGTGGTCCAGACCTGAAAACCAAGTGGGCTCTAAAAGGATGTTTACCTATTGCATTTGTCTCTCACTTGGTTCCATCCTTTCATATGGGTCATTTATTCCCTTTCTTGAAAATAAGAGAACGATTGTTTAAACATCACAGCTGAAAACCATTGATAGGTTATTTTTTGCTAGAAGTGATAGTCTTCTAGAAAATGTGTTGTTACTAAAATCACACAGAAAACAACCTTTTCTTTCTTGTTGTTCAATAGGGCGTTAAGGCAGAAAAGCGCTTGAAACAAATGTAAGGTAGGAACACGCCACTTGTGATATCTGACATTGTGATAATTTTTATTTAAAAATAAATCGAAGTTTTAAAGCCTATAGTGTCTTGGTTGAATTCTCTCTAGTGCATGCCGGAAGCCGGAGTGTAGACGGTAGGGAAAGGGATGATATATGCCGTTGTCCCGTAATCAGGATTCAAGCAGGACATAGAAAACAAACTTGGCGAAGCAAATAATATTTAAATAGTCTTACAAAGTGCGATACTTTGTACCCGGTGAGGTTTATAGGCATATCGAATGATTTGGCCTATTGTAGCGGTTAGACAGAAGTACACTTCGTTCGATGCGAAACTTCGGTTAGGTTAATAATAATGGATAACTGAGCATTGATGATACATACATGTACAAGATACATAGTATATATATTTAGGGATGCATCTCTCTATATAATGCATTCCTAAATATGATTTCATTATTGTTTATTAAAAAATAAAATACTTCTTATAGACTAATTTAGAATATGTGGTCGTCGATAGTTAAGCGAATATAGAATCGCCGAAGTACACACTCTTCTAGCCTAAAACTGATTTTATTATGTTTAACTCCTGACTTCAGTGTCTCTCGGACTAAACGTCACGTAAGCTGCAGGAGCTCATGGGGCGATTTGCGAGACAGTTGTGTTACTAGCTCAGTCCCCAGTAGAAAGGTTCGAAGCTCCGCGAGGCAAAGCTGGAGGCAAAGCTCCGAGCTGGAGCAGAATCTCTACATGTTTGCTCTAGAGAGAGTGACTTGTCGTGGTGGCTCGGAGATGTCTATGAGGCAAACGAAACTTTAGGCAGAGACCCATACTGTCAGACGAAAGCAAGACAGCGCCGACAAGAATTTATGGGTCGTCATATGGGTGTAGCGGCGCTGCGGCGTATGCATCGTTGCTGTTCAATGGTATTCACTGTCCGATAGGATTGCGTCACAAAGCTATTTTCCAAACGTCAAAGCAGGCCTATGTAAGACGTAGTATACTACACAAAACCATGTCAAGGAGGCTCGTAAACAATATGCCAATTTGCCTGAAATCGGTCAGGACAGACGAAGTCGGCTATTGTGTAAGATATAATATTAATTCAGGATACATATTTGCTATGTGGTACACTGAATATACAAAATTGCGATGTCCTGCGCCCGTTAGAACTAATCGATCGACACTAAGGGCCAAAAAGATTCCAGATTCTTAATCACAATACCCGGCTATTTTGATAGCTCTTGCTCTAGGAACATTAGGCTTCTGTATTACTAATTTCTATTATTTTTTCGTTACAGAAACATTTGGACTATACATAAAATGGAGTGCTAGAATTCACTAAAGACGCGTTTTCAATATCGCAGGGATGCAATGCGATGCTTACAAAAAATATGAAGTGGTCTGCCATAGCGACCTTTCAGTTCACTGTCGACAGCTAAATCGCTTTGTGCAGTTCTAGTATTAACACTTGAAAACTTTGATCCGTATAAGCTAAGTGTAACAGAGAGCAATGCTACAGGAATGAGCACCACGAACACAATCTGGGGCCAGCTAGTAAAGCCTATTTCGGCGGGCCGCCACGTTCGATTGGCAGTCGTTTAATCCGAGTGACGTTTGTGCTTCTGGGATTACTACCTACAAATAGTCGTTACTTCGAAAAACTTTTCAGGTCGCTTTAAGAGAGTATTTTACTTTTATTTTAATGGCTGGATAACGTTAATGAATGAAGTAGACATCCTCAACCGCCTGGAAAGCACACGACTTCAATACGAATCTGCCTCTTACTCTTAATCATTACTCTTATTTGGGCGCAGTGTCAAGACGTTGGCAGGAGTGTGCGAATTTTCCCAGCTAGCGATTTTCTCACTATATAAGTGTATAAAATACGTAAACGGTAAATCAGACTTCCTGATTGGCGTTAGGCTAACAAGTAATTATAATTATAAAGCGGTGCTACCAACAGGACACATGTCTCTAAGAATACCTAATACTGATTATTGTCTGTTCCCGCTATTCATCATTTCGAATTAATTTTAGATTTGTAACTACTTATAAAATTAAAGAAAATGGGTCCAAGCTCCATGTGAGTGATAATAGACTACTGCATAATTCTATTCGACTGAATTGATTGCTTTTTCACTCATTCTAAAAAGCGTTACCGAACAATGCGTCTTTACCTAGTATATTTTTATAAGCTATAGCTTAGGAAAACGGCGGCGTATTTACGTGTGAACGGTCCCTTGACAGAAGCGAGTGTTCAGACAATATATTTAGAAAACCAGTGTTTTGCCAGTGTCAATGGTTTGACAAAAGTGGTATACTTGAAGTGAAAGCCTGCCCTGTGACGAGTCGATGAAACATGTAGAATGTTTTGCTGGTCGCGTACAAATTCTCGTTGCGAAACGATGGTAGGTGCTTTTTAGACGTACCGTATCACAGACTTACTGTTTGCATGGCACATATTGCTTGTTATTCCATAAGGTTTTTCAGTTAATTCTAAGACATTTTGATTTGTCGGCACACATGTATATTAATATTAAAGAGGACATCTATTTACCGATACAAGCATTCGAAAGAAATACCGATTGTTGAAGCCTACAAAAAACCGATTACGTGTGTACACGTCTGTCCGCTTCCTAAAATACTGAAGTTATGACGCGCTCGCCGATACGGTTATTTCCGTCACGAAACGATCATATATTATTACGATGACCTTTCGTTCGCACACGCCTCAATACCTAGGCTAGTAATTCACAATTGCAATATATATAGCAAATTACGCTGTCCATTGATGAGACGTCGTATGGTCGTGTTTGCTGCCTTTTCAACACCCTAGCGATTTCCTTAGGAAATCAGCCTGCGGTGCAAAGTTTTACTTTTGAAAAATGCTAAAAGGCTATTTTTAGTTAAGGCGTTATCTGCCGTGTAAGTGTCTGACATTTGGCCGGAACTACAATTCTATGAAAAATACTTATTCAATAACGAATAAGTTCAAGTACTTCTCATGAGGAAAGTACCTGTTTTCTACACTATAAGAAATGTACAAAACAGAAAAAGCAAAAAATGTACTAATCAAAAACTCTGAGAACAACTAACCATAGCTGATTTCAAGTTTATAGTTGCGTGCATCTGCACGAAGTTTGCTAATGAGCCACAATAAAAATCTCTAATTAATTGTACGCTCATTCGTTCAGATTATATATAATGGGTATTCAAGAAGCAGTTGCATACTGCGATACAAAGCATAGATGCCGTCATTGAATTTCGATTTTTTTTTACACGTATTATGTTTTTGTTTTTTTGCTAAAAATTCAAGTTTCGAAATGCTGTCGCAGCCTGAGTTTTAGTAACTTGTACAGTTTGACCATATGATGATCATAGACATCTATGGCAAGTAGATCAGATTGAGAACACAAAAAGGACGAAGCGCCTACATTAAATTTAGAGCGATAGGCGAAAGGTGGGCACCTCTACTTTTTAAGGGCATACGTACCACGTATCGCAAATCCTGCGCATTAATAGCAATAATCTATAAGTTAAGGATAGGGTCAATACGGTGATTTGGCCTAAGAGATCTTGCTTCGAATCAATTTGATCTCAGCTTAAACCTAGCTGCAGCAGTATTTTTACATGAAACTAGTGACCTGATACATAAATTAATATTATCGATTATTGGCGTTTTTTTCTTCGAAGTATTGTATTTTATTACATTGGTAAGAGAAGTTCGACATTTGAATTTTCCAGACATGCCCGTCTGATCATAGTGTGCTACACTAATATCGTCTTACAGAATTTTTTCACGGGTCTCGAATAAGTTGCATCTACGTTTGTTTGAGCCAAAAACGACAGCAATTGAGGGCAAGAATCGTTAGCGGTATGGTAAAGCCAAGCTAGTCCAATGCGTTAACCCTAACACTATATTGACTCTGTCTATCACTAGCTCATTGTTTAGGGTCCGAGACCCACGACGTGCTGCGGCTGATCATAGCTATGGCGCGACTACTGGCATCGAACTGTCAGCGAGAGCAAGAATTATCTCGTGGCTCGGCTATTTCCTTCCAAATTGCACGGATGCTACTCTTCAGCAGTAGTAGCATATTTAGCGTGTAACGTTTTTCGTCCATATCTGCTCTCGACATGGGCGCATAGAACCTATATTCATCGCTTCGCTTCATTCGGTCGTCGAGTTCGAATGATTCGAATGTATTCTATCGTTACTTTTCTGGCGCAGCCACGGGGGCAGCGAACGTTATTGACGGCCGTCTTGCCCGGTAAGTAAGAGTGAGTATGCATTGGCGCAGCAATGGACGGAAGGGAAACGGAGGAAAACGAAGAGCTACCTAGGGATTGCTGCTGACAGGCCAACTACTTAAAGAACAAGTCAAAAAAAGTCATAGAAAATGAAGCAGGCAGGGCAGCGGCGGTGCCGTTGGTGAAGAAAAAGTGGTCTGTAGTGATATGGAAACGGCAACCGCTGCTGCCTAAAAGGGTGTGCCTTCTTAGCTTCCTCTTGTGCGAAGGTGGACGAACTAAGCGGACCGCCTTGCCCTCCGCGCCGCGGCGACCAGTGAGCTGGCAACGAGCTGTCATAGAAGCATCGTTAGCGTCTGCAGCAGCTAGAACCTAAGCCCTGGTTTCGGACACTTCTGGTCCATAGCCCTTCCCCAGGCGACTATAAAAGCGGCTGAGCGCGCTCGAGTCAATGCACAGTAGCTTCGTCGTTCCCCTGAGCGTAAGTCTGGTTTCAGTATCTTTCGTCTAAGCGTAATACTCGACATGTCTACACTACAAACATACTATCGTCTGTTAGGCTTACGACCGCAAACTCTTCCAGCTAGAACAGCAGAGCTTAAGATCATACTCTTCAGCTAGTTGCATCCATCCGTTCCGCTGGCGCAAGTGCTTTTCTTGGAACCCGTGCCAGCATTTCATAAACTCGACGGAATAGGAAAAGACGATCGCGAGAGCGCAAAACTTGCGATTACAAAATGTGTCTATACCACGAACGTGCACATTTCGGATTTTACGTCATAGAAATTGCATTTGTTCTATCAACAGTTGTGCAATGAATTTTTGCCCCCGATGGATACGACTAATGAGTGACCCTTAGCTGTATTTGCATTCAGATACGTAGGCAAACGTATAGAAAAAAGTAAATATGTTGCTATCGGTATGCACAAGCGCGCAAGAAGGCAGGAGACAATTATGTGGTAGATGAATCGCTCAGTCGCCGCCCCTCGGGGCTAGCTTTCTTCTCAACAAATATATTACAACAACGTGTAACAACACGCCTCGGTTGACAGGTGCCGCCCCTTCTTTGTGTATTCGTGTAAGCTATAGACACAGAGGACGCCTCGCCTCACAGAATAGTTGGCGACGGCGGCGGTGGCGGCAACGAAAGCCTTGAAGACAGACTCCAGCAAGTACGTTGCCTATTATGTTGCAGCGTATAATAAGTTGGGTTTGGAAAGGAACGCTTTCGATCGTTCGAGTAGAAAGTCAGCGCCAGCAATTGTCTCGGTTTTAGCTTTCCTGTTGATGGACAGCGTTATGTGTCCAGGTCAATGAATGACTTGAAAAAAGTAGAAAATCGTAAATTTTACTCGTTTGAACTATATACGGATGTGGGAACTTACAAGAAGAAAGAAACAAACGACCTTAGGTTAACTAATACAAAACACCACGAATGTTTCTTTATCGTTACAGAAGCATCGCATATGGCATCCCATTCCATTTCCGAGTTTCGTTAAAGTTTTTGTTTCCTACTTTATTTATATTCTGTGTTTGCAGGAAGCTATTTGGCAAATCCGGTCCCCATCGTTCTCTGAGCTGCAACACGTCGCTGCAACCGTTTCGACAGTAATTCCACCTCTTTTGCTGCTTTATTCGAAACATTAAGTGAAGCTCCACAATGGCTACGGATCCCGACCCCACCGCATTTCTGTTTGTGTCCCTTGAGCAGAAACGCAAGGATCAGACGAAGCCGTACGATGGGAAAAAGATGGTTTGGGTGCCCGATGAAAAGGAGGGCTTTGTGCTCGGAAACATCGAGAGCCAAAAAGGTGATGACGTTGTGGTTGATTTGCCCGGCGGCAAGAAAACTGTTAGAAAAGATTTACTTCAACAGGTCAACCCGCCGAAGTTCGAGAAGTGTGAGGATATGTCCAATTTAACCTACCTGAATGACGCCTCCGTACTCCACAATCTCAAGGAGCGCTACTACAGCAACCTCATTTACGTAAGTTCACTTGAAAACACACTGTAAAATGATACTGAGGCGTACTTTGTCGCAGCGGGTTTTGGGTATCATTTTTGTCGCGACTATAGCGACTGCCAGTAGCCATTTTTGGGAAAGCAAATAGAGGTGTTGTGCATTTCCATTTGTCTTGCTAAAATCCATAAACTGGAATGAAGCTACAGGCAATATCAGGGCTCACGTAAGAGGAATCTAAGGGGAAGCCGAAGAAAATTTTGGCAGTGTACTCTATGAAACTGCAAAGCTTTCGGCAGGATCCGTATACCTACCTAACTGTCCATATAATATATATATAGCTGGGTCGTTGCTTTGGATCTATAATTTTTCTTAGGGCTTGTAAGATACAGAGGATGCAAAGGAATTTGTTTGGTCATGACCTCGATCGAGGGGGTCTGCGGATTGTTTTTACGGAAATAATTAAGTATTGGCGTGATCTACCTTTAATGAATCCTGAACAATCTGGATAGATCACTATACAGTTCGTGTATGGAACTAAATTTCAGTTGACGATCTCATGACATTGTTCATTGAACGTCTCTAAGTAAGTTCCCTGCTCTCTATAGGCCATATTCTTTATGTCATTCACTATAATTTTGCTGGCGTGTAACTCTGATTTTGTAATGATGTAACTAGTGACAACAACTTTATAGTTGGACAATATTTCGACTAAACCCTCATCATCAATCTTCTAAGGTCTCGTTATCTATCTAAATTTTGGGCCATGTTTTGTGCATCCTACAAAGGAGGAAGTCTTTAGTAATTGTTAAATTATGATTATCAAAACTAGCTTAAGTACTAGGGCATCTACTCCTATAGGGTAGGTAGGCCATATTCTTAGTTACTTAATATATATATTTGATATATCCAACAAAATAACTACACTAAAGTCTTCTTCGTAGGTCCTACCCTTCTTTCATGATAAAAAGTTATTTTATTATAATAATTATTATTATTTGAATAAAAACATTAAAATAAACAATTTATATGCTCTGACTTATTGAATACATATTTTTCCTCTTATAACGATTTGGTCTAATTAGTATGTCTTGCTGAGGTACTTTCTAAGTTTTTTGTCTTCGAGTTAGCTGGTTACCGGATTAGAGTTCCAATAGGATTTTCGCTTAATATCACAAACGCTTGAAGTTGTCTAGGCAATATCGTTTCTTAACTCTGAACTGGCTGGAATTATATCAGCAATCGTTTTTTCGTTTGCTTTTGCCCGAGTGGAGTTTTGAAGTGATTTTAAAATTGATTTCCCAGCAAAATTGCAGGATGTGTATGCTAGCGTTCAAGACAGTGGTGCCAGTGGCACTGATATATGGGGCTTACAAAATTCATCTCAGACAGTTCTGCTGTTTGGTCTCAAAAACTTAATAATTTCTTTTGCAGACTTACTCGGGCCTGTTTTGCGTGGCGATCAATCCCTACAAACGGTTCCCGATCTACACCCCTCGAGTCGTCGCCCTTTACAGGGGAAAGAGACGCACGGAAGTACCTCCACACGTGTTCGCCATTTCTGATGGAGCGTATATGGCCATGCTCACAAGTAAGTGCAGACGTCTATGTATATACCTTGATGCCTATAAAAGTTGCGTACACAGTTCCAATGCCTATATATTCCACAATGTGATAATAAACTGTCGTGGTAGCACGTATATGGAACAGAGCAATAGCTGAAAGCTGTCAGTTTCCCTAACAGGTACAAACAAATCGAATAACATTAGCACAAAATATACCCCAGATGATGGCGCCTCCAACGCATGTAACAGCTGCCAGTTTTTTAATACCTTTGGACTTGAACAGGTCTGAACTTCCGTAACATTACTGAGTTAAAGAAGTCACTTAGTTCTTATGTACGTGCGTTGGCGCTACGTTGTTCCATTTTTGTATGATCTACGTTTAATGTCCGGTATAGCCGTTAGGCATTCTAGCACACGGCTGGCCCCCAGCACGAAATGAAGTGTGTCTATCTATCTATGCCCATGTTTGAACCTAGACCACAACGTGTCCTTAAGATTTGCAAGCAAATACCCACTGCTAACACCGGCATGTCTATATATGTATGTATGGTCACTTGGAGAAAAGCCTACTTAATAGGTTGGTTTTCCTACGACTTTTTTGGCAACGTCTTGGCCACGTGCGTAAGCCGACTCAGTACACGAGTCGGCTTAGCTGGGTCGATCTTTTCATAGTACCCTTCTCAAAAGATGACTATAATGCTGTCTGTAAAAAATCCATTGGAGTCAAAGAGAGACCATGAAAATACCATTTGACGAAATCCATCATAAGGGGGGGGGGGGGGTACTAGACAAGTTCAATTAAGTTCATTGATAACTTCCCACAACTAAAACGATATTTATTCGATGCTGCAGTATCACTGAATTCTGCATGGCACTGTTTGTCAAATGGCTTCCTCAAAACTTACTTTAAAAACTTACTTAAGCAAAAGCTGACACTCTTCAGTCCCAGTAAATAGTTACGATATTTTATAGGTTCAAATCATAGCTCTGGCGCTCTTATCCAACCAATGTTTGCCGACTGAGTCAGCTAAGATCTGCTGCACGCTATTACCGCGCACGCAATTATGACCAAGATCATCACTATCGATTGCTAACGATCCTTTACCGACCTACTCAAAGAGACAGTAACGATATGAAAGCTAGGACCCGTGGTATACTCTTTTTGCTTTGCAGGGAAGTAGGGCACTAGCCGTTGAGCATTTGCTCACAAAAGCAAACAACACAGGCAGTCGTATCTATGTTTAATGACTGCAAGTGCAAATCACAGGCTGATAGGGTGTGCGGAGCTCTTGTAGCCGATTGAACCGAAATAGGCAAAAAACTAGCAAAGCCCAATTGGCCGTTCGGCTAAACAACCGTGAAGAATATCTCTTTGGGTTTTGTTTATCTTCGAAAAAAGAGCGCTACGGCTGCAATGTAAACCCATTTTCAAGCCGAGGCCCATCCGACGTTGGTAAACTTTGTCCCGATGGCTCTCCAGAGTGCTTCGCGCAGCGGAGTCTATTGGCCATCATAGGCGAGTCGAACTCATAGAACACAGCCATGGACACGACTACTACTACTACGAAGAAGAAAAGGTTTTCAAAAAGAGCGCGGAATAAATAGCGCGGCTTGAACGAAGGATGACGACGAAACGTTATCTTGACCACGTCATGCGGTGTAAGGAAGACAACGGATGAGGAAAACGCCTTTGCAGTAAACAATATTATTCGAACGGGCCAATGTATAGGATTTGAAGGATATTTTTCAAAGCGGTTTGCATTTACTTGAGCTAGTTATTGATGTGTGTAAGGAATAAAATAAAATGCAGTGGCCTATGATCGGCTATATTATTGAACCGATACTTCCGCGCCCATGTATTTCTCGCAGCCATGTATAAATATCAGAGACCTCTTAATGTCAAGACAATCTAGAGAAATGCAAGAGCTGGATAGAAAAACACTGCAAACAAACAAACAACGTATTGCATAAGAAGCAGTACAAAAATACAGATTTTTGAAAACAACAGGCTTAGAAATGTCAATCAATGAAACGAAGTTTCCTAAACAGATTTTCTGCTAAAAATGTTATACCCCAGAGGCCTTGTAGATATCCTCTCATTTAACAATATTCGTACCCTGTATGTCTTTTCATTTGTTTGCCGTCTCTTTTCAGACAAGGACAATCAGTCGATGCTGATCACGTAAGTCTCCAAGTGCCTTAGGCTAGACAAGCGTCTCAATTTTTTCACAGTTCTTTCGCTGTAAACGAGGGCGCACTTGTTGAAACGGTTTATATAGGAAAAGCAGTCAATGACAACTTTATTTACTGATTTTATTTATTTTTATTGCATTTATGCATTGTAGAGATTTAAGTTAAACCGATAGAGATTCACTTAAGTGGTATGGTCGTACAGGGCAACTCTATAGTTGTGCAATTGGTAATTGATAAGCTAAAAGAAGAGATCTTGCGCATGCAGGAGTCCTGCGGATTTCAGTCTTGTGTGCAATCATCCACTAGGCTACCACCCGCTGATTTTGCTGTAGCTATGTAACAAGACGCATTAAAGATTAGTTAACCCATTCCTGTCGTATCAGTAATTTGATAATAAGCAGTCTGTGTAGGTAAACATCGGTATTGTAGGCGCTTCGAAATTAAGCTAGTGTAACTTTACGAAAAATTGCGGTTATGGTGTATTTGACTACCAGCGGTGAGTCCGGAGCTGGAAAAACCGAGAATACAAAAAAGGTGATCGCCTACTTCGCCATCGTCGGTGCAAACCTACAGACCAAAGATAAAGAGCCTAAGGAGGGTAAGAAGGGCAACCTCGAAGATCAGGTCGTACAAACCAACCCTGTTCTCGAAGCTTTCGGTAATGCTAAAACGGTCCGTAATGATAACTCGTCCAGATTCGGAAAATTCATTCGTATCCACTTTGGACCAACTGGTAAACTTGCTGGAGCTGATATTGAAACCTACTTGCTAGAAAAAGCCAGAGTTATCTTTCAGCAAGAGAAGGAACGATCGTATCATATTTTCTACCAGCTTATGTCAGGAAAGATCTCCGGCCTTAAGGGTGAGTTCCCGCAGTTGATCTAAGTTAAGAATGATATATTTAATCAATAGACTGTAATGTTCATTCAGCTAAAATGTATACGAGTATGCATGTTTTGAATAAATGTCATATATTATAAAATTATTTTTAATGTAGTTTGTGTAATTTTAGTTGGAAGCCTTTTTCAGCTTTCCTTACAAGTCCTTGCTTTCCAGATTTGTTAAATCTAATTTGAATTTCTGATAACCACCGTTTGAGAAGTACCATAACTTTGGCCTGTGTCTTTTACATTTCTGCTGCGACGATCTACACGTTGATTGCTTTCAAATGGCGATTCCGTAACGACGATGATGATGATCCAGGCAAATTGTTGCTAAGCAACAACATCACTGATTATCACTTCGTCTCGCAGGGAAAAACTGAAATTCCCGGCGTCGATGATGGCGAGGAGCTCAAGCTCACCGATGTAAGTTATTCGAGTTAAAGCGCTACTTGTCATACGCATCAATGACGGTAGCAGCTGTCGTTGTCTATACTATTACTTGTAATTTCAGCTAGTTTTTGTGTGTCCTACCACTTATCCTTGGTATACACTTAGCAATGACGAATTTTTGCGTCAATTTTCCTGTAACTCATTGACTATGTCTAGCGTAAGAGCCAGACCTCGAAGCATTGAGTTTTCTGTTTGCAAGCATAGCGTGATACAGAATCGGTACTCATCAACAACAATTTATCAACACTTACGAACCGACATCTAAGTCTTATCCGAAGACATCGTCTTTTATCGTGTCAGATTCTATGATCTAGGACAGATATCAGGTCCTCGAATTTTTCTGATCGTCATTTTCTAGTGTAGCGACAGCTCGTCTTCGACCTGAATGTTTCAGTCGACTGCCTGTTGTCCTAGGCCTTCCGTTGTTTGATGAATGACCACTCGGCTGTTGCCCTTTTCATACTCGCTACTAAAATGCATGCAATATTCAATTAAGCGGTATGGCCTTCTGTTTTGTTTAATATATATAAGAGGCGATTTAAAATAAACAATTTCGCAAATGAACTTACGCTTTAGGTGATCTAGAGGCTAGCCTTGTTGTCGTATTCACCTTAAAGGCTGTTGTGAGCAGCAGACGATTTATAGATATTATATAACTATGTAACATATATGATATTTGAACTGTCCTAAATACGACACATCTGAAAAAACTGATAAATTTTGTAATTGAATAAACGTTAAGTTGTAAGCCATTTATAGGTATTTGCTATAGCTAACAAGAAACAGACTTGACTATAGTTACGTAGGTTTATTTAGATTTAGTAAAAGCTTCATGCTGATCATGGTTTTATTGTAACTTCATTGCAAGACATTGAAACGAGACATTTAATTGAATTACCTGCTGTGTCCATATGACAGCAAGAACTAATGATGACTAAAATTAACTAGAAAAGATAAGTTTTTCAAACCGTAATGCATCGCCAACGCCTCTTGCATTGTATCGGTCGTGTTGTACCAGGCACGCTTTTGCTGTCTAAGAACGTACAAATTTATATCTCAGGAAAAGGTCGAAATTACTGGAGTCGATAACGGCGAAGAACCAGACGCGAGTCCATCATAACTCGACGCTCGCACTTTGGGACCGATTACTGAAAGCCTTATGATGATACATTATCTTTAGAGCAAGTGTGAATTAGCACTGCTAGAGCAAGTTATCGAGCCAGAATAGCTAAAAAGCCTACACATCACGAAATGAAGAGCTGCTAATTCTGGTTTTGTTTGGACAGTAGCTAGATAGGTTGTGCGCAATCGTATATTTCGCCTGTTTTTTTAATCTTTAAGTAGCTTTGTTGGCATTCTCTCCTTATTGCGTCGTGTATTAAATAGTGAAACTGGGCTGAAATCTCAACCAGTGAAAATGTTATAGGTATCGAAATGAGGCTATCAAAAGTTCTTAAAGCAATATGGAAAAACGCTAATCTTTTATCCCTGCTATATATCTACGTGTCAACGTATCCGTATTTGAAGACCGTAGAGCTGACCGATTCTTCTACTTCTACACTTTTTCTTCACTGCTTATCGAAAGTCAGCTACAAGTGCGAAAATTAAACGTATATTACGGTCTGATATTATTTGCAGAACGCCTTCGATATCCTTGGTTTTAGCGAGGAGGAGAAACTCTCGATTTACCGCATCACGGCAGCTGTCATGCAAATTGGATGTTTGAAATTTAAGCAGCGCCCTCGCGAAGAACAGGCCGAAGCTGATGGAAGCGAAGAAGGCGAACGTGTTGCTCAACTTCTTGGTCTAGAAGCACCTGAGCTTTACAAGAACCTTTTGAAGCCCCGTATTAAGGTCGGCACCGAAATGGTAACCCAGGGGAGAAATCTCACCCAGGTCGTATCATCAGTGGGCGCCCTGGCCAAGGCAATGTTTGATCGCCTCTTTAAGTGGCTTGTCAAGCGTGTCAATCAGACACTCGAAACTCGTCAAAAACGGGCTCATTTTATCGGTGTGCTGGATATTGCCGGATTCGAAATTTTTGATGTACGTTGCTCTTGCCTGCTGCTTTATTTATTTAGCTAGCTCTGTTGACTTTAGCTTCAATATTCGTATATCTGCCTACCGGAATATGTTAAACATGTAAGATATAACATATAAATAAAAAAAGGAACACGAACGTCAAAAATGGTCAATGGTTTACCTTGACCATTTTCTCTCTGCATGTCAAAATAACTTCTATGCTATTATTCTGAAACTCAAGATTGTTTCCATCTGGGATAAATTCAAAACTACTTTTGCATGTAAAAAAGCAATTAGTACATAACTGTCTTTAATCTAAAGCTGGTAAGCGAAAAAGAGATAACGTTACAACAATACGGTGGAGGTACCTATCGAATATATTTTACTCGTAGTCATATTCTAAACTGATTGATTCTTTCTTTACGCAAAACAGTTCAACAGCTTCGAACAACTGTGCATCAACTTCACAAACGAAAAGCTTCAGCAATTCTTCAACCATCACATGTTCGTCCTGGAGCAGGAAGAGTACAAGCGAGAAGGTATAAATTGGACGTTTATCGATTTTGGTCTCGATCTGCAAGCCTGTATCGAATTGATTGAAAAACCAATGGGTGTCCTATCAATCCTTGAAGAAGAGTCCATGTTTCCTAAGGCTACGGACAAGACGTTTGAGGAGAAGCTCAATAACAACCATCTGGGCAAGTCAGCCAACTTCCAGAAGCCTAAACCCGGCAAAGCTGGTGCGCCCGCTGCCCATTTTGCTATTTCACACTACGCCGGCATCGTGCCTTACAATCTTACCGGCTGGCTAGAGAAGAACAAAGATCCATTGAACGATTGTGTCGTTGACCAGTTCAAGAAAGGTTCTCTCCAGTTATTGGCTGAGATCTTTGAGGATCATCCTGGTCTGGGCGGCGATACTGGAGGCAAAGGCGTCCGTAAAGGCAAAGGATCATCGTTCCAGACGGTGTCCCTCCTCTATCGTGAACAGTTGCAAAATCTTATGAGAACGCTAAATGCCACCCATCCGCACTTCGTGCGTTGCATCATTCCCAATGAGACGAAGTCGCCTGGCGTTATTGATTCACATCTTGTCATGCATCAACTGACTTGCAACGGTGTACTTGAGGGTATTCGTATTTGCCGAAAGGGCTTCCCTAACCGTATGGTCTATCCTGACTTCAGGCAACGGTAAGCCAGATTAAGATTTGTATTAATTATGGTGTAACCTATTTATTTTAGCAGTTAAATAGGGTAGCTAATTCTCTTCGACTAGCTTACCAAGCTGCGTCACACGTGTCAGAAACCAGATATGAATCTGACTATACTTTTTTCTATATGTTTTTTCCACTAGTTTCTTTTCATCCCAATTTAATGATAAACCTTACGCGCTCCTCACAATTATTTTGAAGGCAATTCTAGTGAAAACGTACTAGTTCTGACTCTGTTAAATTCTCATTCATTGCAGGTTATATATTATACAGAGAGACCATTTTGGTAATTTATTACGATAAAGAAATGAAGACTTCTGAGCGGTGTAGTTTCTGTCAAACGGAACTTTTCTTGTACATACAAACAAACTTATGACCAGATGTCAAGAGAGGCTTAACTGACCCGAAGTACTTGATTGTCTTTTTTTTCTCGCTTGTATATGCTATTTATATACCATATACCCCAGTTCTATAAATAATTGTTAACATTATGATTTTTACATTTAATTTATTTGGGTCATACATCTAAAAGACTGACGAGAGACTTTTGGTCAAATATAAAATTGTAGTTACTGTCTATTCGAATTCCATCGCTGTCCGTCGTGAATGTGTTTAGCTATGCCATACACACATTTAATGCAACTTCTCTATCAACGTTTCTCCTATTTAACTTAACTTTCTAAGCCTTATTTTAGTTTTGTGCAAACCGCCTGCAGTTATGCCCTTTTGCAAGGTAACAGTCGTTTTCTCTCTTGGAAATATAATAAATAAAAAATTGGATTGTTCCCTGAGTGGTCATTAAAGATAGAGAAAAAAATACCCAAAGAATTAAACAAAAATAGTAGTTTCTTTAGATTTGTATTGGTAGCTTTGCATTAGTTTTTAGTAATTATGCATCCTGCTTTGCAGTACAATTAGGTACTTTTGCAACACATGTTGTATTGCATCTCTTAACCAGCTTTCTTCCGTTATTCTTGCTCGCGACAGGTACAACATTTTGGCCCCTAACGCAGCAACCGGCGTAGCTGATGCTAACGAAGCATCTAAGAAGGTCATCGCTACCCTAGACCTGGATCAAGACGAGTACCGCTTCGGTAGCACAAAGGTACTGAAGTTTTGACGCTAACGAACAGAACATTTTACCCGCGATTTTTAAATAATTTTATCTTTAAACTGCAACACTCTTTGTTTGTTAAGTTTCTAAAATAACAAGTGCTACTATTGATACTTACTTGTCTGTTTGCTGTAATCTTCTAGTGTGATAAAGCGTAGCGAGGTAACGGCGTCCTACTGAAGCGTCAGTCGAAAACTCGGGTTTTTCTTTCGTTGCCGCTTGAAAACAGCATGTACTGTTTGCATATTTCCTTTCACGAACTCCAATATTTTACCCACCGTGTTCGAAAAATCAGCTGCTTAACGTTGAATCCATCAAATGCGGGTTAATTTTGCACGCCATTTTTTCACGCCTTTCTACCGCTTCATGACGTTATGTAGAAAGCTATTTTTACGTGTAAGTAATTATCCGCATACTATTATTTATATACTATTGTTACCCTTATCAGTTCTATTTTAGGGTTTTTTTTTATTTCTAGCAGATTAGATAAAATATTTATGGATGCATGAACACACATTCAACGTAACCACGGAGCGTGTTTAAGCGACTCATCCTGTTTATGACAGAACAAACGAGGCTATGCAGTGTGTCCGCGTCTTTATGTATTATTGTCATTAACTATGACACATAAAGTTACGTAAGTACATGATAACTTGTAATTCCTGAATACAAACACGAAAAATTCAATTGTAAAGCAACTGCAGAATGGTATCAACGGCCTTTTCGAAACTTGTTATTGACAAAGTCGCGCACGCACCAAGGCATGCCTCGTGTAATTATGTAAGTGTTTGTCAGCTGTTAAGAAAAACCTATAATCCATGTTTGGTGAATTAATAAATTTCGCGGAACTAACATTTTCCAACAACATCCTCCGAGGAATAACATCCTTGCCCCAGACACATTGATCGAATGGATCCGCGTAAAAGATATAACTGGGGCTTTTGCAAAACATATACCCAAAATCGACGGTGCCGAATATCAGCCCGACGTGACGGATATCAAAGGCAGAAGGAACAATAAAGCACAGATGTTCGACGCATTCAGATTATTGGGTTAAACAGTGTGCGTATGGGCATAATTGTGGAGTATATATGAAGCATCGATGGTATAACACAACGCTATTGAATGCAATACAAAATTAGTCTTTACGAAAATGAACCTAAATTTTTCTGACCGGAAACTTTCGATTTGACGTTTATCGGCGAGTAAAATTAATAAATACCGAGTATATTAAACATACTATCTAATAACAATTATGCATGTTAAGGTCGGGCCCAAGTGCAATGAGCGCATGCTCATTGCCCGGGTAAGGATGTCTATACAATCCGATATCTAAATGAAACATGCCCGTTGCAGGTATTCTTCCGCGCTGGGGTGCTGGGCCGCCTGGAAGAATTACGTGACGAGCGTTTGGCCAAGATCATGACGATGATCCAATCAGCTTGCAGGTGGTATCTTTGCAAGAAAGGATTCCAGAAATTAAAGGAGCAACGGTACGTTCTTTTACGCCTATTCAGTGATAGGTGAGGGTGTACAGATAGGTTAAATGTAACGGTCACGCAATCATGCGACCATATGAACACTCCTCAGACCTAGCTTTAATACTTAGTAACAATAAAATCCTGTGTCTACTTTAAAGCTTTAGCTTTTTTTGGATTATTTTGTAAATTTGATCAGACGTTGAAGCCGGACGTGTCGCTAAAGAAATATTTTTTTTAACGGTAGACGATACTTGATCACTAATAAACTATACAGTTCTTAGGAACATGATTCAGTAAGTGACAAACCCAACGGTCTAGACCTAATAAGGTAATCTGATAGATCTGTGAAAGTTCGGTGGGCATGCCTGCTTTGCATGGTCCCGAAGTCGAAAATGTTTAAGTTCATTGAGTACAACATTTTCACAAGTTTGTACTTAGAAATTGAATACGCAATTAGTAGTAAATGTAACATAATTTTTTTACCAGCCACATGACAGCAGGAAAATGATTGCACAGTTGAAGGCAAAAACAAGCACTTATTATATATGAAGTAACTAACAAAAAGCTACAAACATGAACTCATCTATTTGTGCGACAATCCGCAATCTGAACTGCGAACTAGCTGTTTACTACCTTTGCTTCTTTGATCACAGAAGTTTCTAATTCGTTTGGTTTTTAAAGATATAATAGTTTATCAAATGATACTTATTTCAAGCGTTGATAACAGGCAAAGATATCGTAACAGCTAAAGATGTCTTACAATACAATTGAGTAAACCCTATTTTTGTTTTTATATATATATATATTATCGCTTGCCATTGAGAGATAATCGTCATCAACGTCTTTTTAGTCTATATATTTATCCACTCATTAGCAAGGATTTCATAAAAGATCAATTTATATAACCAATGATTTTTTGTTATAACCCTATTAGCGCGCGAAGCACGACGGGAATTCGTTTGTAGACTGTAAAAGAACTACACATACATTTGAGTACATCCGCTTGTACGTGCTAGTGAAGGGTATTTAGCGTGCCCATCCCGGTGCCATGCATTCTTGTTTGAAATACAGCAGAAGATCATGCGAGAACAACGACCAGCAAAGTATCTTTAGGAATAGACACTGTTTCTCTTGTGATACACATAGATGTGGTTCGTTCTATCAACTCCACATAAATGGATACGCGCTAGCCACTCTAGCAGACCCGATGCAGGACTAAGGCTATTTATCAGTCGGAATTTACTCTTCTATAAGAGGCTTCTGATGAAGCCGCTTTTTGACATTTCATCTCCAGTCGTATTAACCTCGTCATACATTTTCTCCTCTTCGTACATATACACCACACCTTTCTCCAAGTCTGTATATGTCTCTGCGGCAAAAAAATACCTCTCCTAATACTTTTCCTATTACGACTTCTACATCTACAACTTCCGCCTGTCCCAATACGGCGGCTTGCCTGACTGCTAGTGTCTGATAATGATGAGATGTTTATTTCCTCCAAATATAATCGGTGGGCCCTCCGATAATATGGCGCGCGGGTGTATGAGCTATCGTGCCCAATATCAGCAGCCAGCAGGTAGAGGAAAATGGATTTTTACAGATCTATTGCTCGGCGTGGAAAGCCAAGAGGCTAAGCTAACATAGGTTAGCTTTTGGTTGTCAACATCACCACTGACAGTACCGTCGCACCCGAGCCGCTTTTTTTAAGGGTGAGCAAGTCATATTAGTACGAGACTCACACCATTAGGATACCAGCTGCAGCAGTTTGTGGCCCTGCGTAGCACAGCGGGTGCCTTCATGGACCTGGCCACACTTTCCAAATACAGACGCAGTATCTTCGCGTCGGGTTGAACCGCACAACACTTCCTAGCTCAGAGTGGGGTGCGAGCTGAAACAGTACTGCAAACTTGTATAATCGAAGACTTAAAAAGACTAGATTTCTTTTAGGCGGTGTAGTACCCTGTACTGAATAGAAAGATAGCCTTCCCACTGTATCACGAGTATGGTTGCTATAAAGAAGCGGAAACCCAGCCCACGGAGGGACTAAGGCTTCTTTCTTTAAAGCTATTAGATTTCGATCCGCAAGAGTTAGTCATCGTGGGTGTAGCGTAGATAACTATTAGCAGTAACTATGCTTTTAATAGTTAATTATTACTTGAACAAAATGTATACTGCATATTGTAGAGAAGTGCATTTTGAATTACAATGAAGTTTTGTGTGGCACTTTTAAAACACTTCAACATAACTAAGTAAAACTTCGTATTGATGTCATCGGTGACAATTCGCTACTTACGTGTTTGATGCGGCATTTTCGCGAATTGAATTCATTACAGGGTTGCTCTTGTGATCATCCAACGGAATCTCCGTCGTTTTTCGCAGTTGCGCAACTGGCTCTGGTGGAAACTCTACTCAAAGGTGAAGCCTATGATCCACGTAGTACGCGCCGAGGACGAGATTAAAGGTACGGCAAAAGACAATCTATAAAAACCTAATTGTTAACAAGAATGTAAAAGAAAGGATGCACTCATGGATTTCGTGTTTCAGGTTCATTTTTTTATTTTAGCTCGCTTACATGACTGAGAAATATTTTGTAGAAATTTCCCTCAAGTTTGTAAATGTTAAAAATGCCATTATTGAACAGCGCCAAATAAAATTTTAGTTATGAGCTTTCGGGTGAGTACTTCACTTGTTTTCTAATTTACTACTGACTGATTTGACTTACAGCTCTCGAGAAGAAATTGGCCGAGGAGCATGAAGCGTTCCTTAGGGAAGAAAAATTACGCAAAGAGTTGGAGGCCCAAGGAGTTAAACTGCTTCAAGAAAAGAACGATCTCTTCATGCAACTAGAGGCGGAGCGTTCCGGAGCTTCCGATATCGAGCAACGCCTTAATAAAACTCTAGCTCAGAAGAACGATCTGGACCGGCAGCTCAGAGATGTTGAAGACCGTCTGCACCGTCAAGAGGATGAGTACCAGAGGCTCACCTCAAACAAAAAGAAACTTGAGGGAGAACTCTCTGGATATAGGAAGGATATTGACGACTTACAGTTATCTCTGCAGAAGGCCGAACAGGACAAACAGTCTAAAGATCACCAGATTAGAAGCCTTAATGATGAAATTCAGCATCAAGATGAGCTCATCCAAAAGCTAAACAAGGAAAAGAAGCACCTGCAAGAAGCAGGACAAAAGAGTGCAGAGGATCTTCAGGGTTTGGAGGATAAGGTGAACCACTTAAATAAAGTAAAAACCAAACTTGAGCAGACCCTTGACGAGCTGGAAGACTCCCTTGAGCGTGAGAAGAAGACCCGCGCTGAGCTCGATAAAAACAAACGCAAAGTCGAAGCTGATCTGAAACTCGCGCAAGAAGCCGTTATTGATCTCGAAAAGGCAAAGAAAGAAGCTGAACAGGCCATACAGCGTAAGGACAAAGAGTTGGCAGCCATTCAGGCCAAGCTGGACGATGAACAAAGCATTGTTGCCAAGCTTCAAAAGCAAATCAAAGAACTGCAGCAGCGTGTTGAAGAACTAGAGGAAGAACTCGAAGCTGAACGACAGGCGCGATCGAAGGCAGAAAAGCAACGCGCCGACCTTGCACGCGAGATCGAAGAGCTTTCTGAGCGTCTCGAAGAATCCGGTGGTGCAACTTCCGCCCAGGTAAAGCAGAATTACTATGGTAACGTCCTTCTCGTTATAAGTGCATACAAATACTAAGAATTTTTATACTACTTAAATATACGAGAATTTGACAGGATTCGTTTATTAAATCTATCTGAATAACAGATCGAGTTGAACAAGCGACGCGAAAGTGAGTTAGCTAAGCTGCGACGTGATCTGGAAGAATCGAATATGCAGCATGAACAGGCAATCTCGGCATTGCGCAAAAAGAATAACGAGCAGACAGCCGAAATGGCGGAAACCATTGAAAATCTTACAAAGGCTAAAGCTAAGTATGTACCCCTTTTTTGTATGGACTTCGTTATGATCTGCCCTTAAAGCTGTTAACGGTAAACACATGTAGTCGATGCTTTTCTGTTAACTATTGTTTTTAGTGTTCTAATTTACTGTGCTTGTATTTCGAAGGAGCGACAAAGAGCGCGCCACGTCTCAAGCCGAGGTGACAGACCTACAAGGTCTACTGGTTCACCACACCAAGCAGCAAGCAAACCTCGAAAGGCAGGTGAAACAATTCGAGCAACAATTAGCCGATACCCAATTTAAGCTGGATGAATCGAACCGCACGCTTAATGATTTTGATGCCGCCAAGAAGAAGTTATCTCTTGAGAACGGTGATTTGCAACGACAGCTTGAGGAAGCTGAAAGCATGGTGAGTCAGCTATCGAAGCTCAAGGCATCGCTCGCCAACCAAGCTGAAGAGGCCAAACGCACCGCCGATGACGAAGCGCGTGAACGCACTGCTATCATGGGCAAATACCGCAATATCGAACACGATATGGAGAACATTCGGGAGGCCCTCGAAGAGGAGCAAGAAGCAAAGGCTGATTTGCAACGCCAATTGTCGAAAGCGAATGCCGAGGCTCAACTTTGGCGTGGCAAGTATGAGTCTGAGGGCCTGGCACGTCTTGAAGAACTGGAGGAAAGCCGCCGCAAACTTCAAGTAAAACTTGAGGAAGCTGAAGGAACAATCGAAGCTTTGAACGTGAGGGTGTCTGGCCTAGAGAAGACCAAGCAACACCTGCAAGGTGAAGTCGAGGACATGCAGTGCGAAGTTGATCGTGCACAACAGTTGGCCGCACAATTGGAGAAGAGGCAAAAGTCGTTTGACAAAGTCATTGCGGAATGGAAGGCCAAGGTTGACGACCTCGCTGCCGAGCTGGACGGCTCTCAGAAAGAGTGCCGAAACTACTCAACTGAGGTATACAAGCTCCGTGCTGCTTACGACGAATCGCAAGAACACTATGAGGCAGTGAAGAGGGAAAACAAAAATCTCCAGGATGAACTTAAGGATCTCATGGATCAACTTGGCGAGGGTGGTAGGTCCGTCCACGAGCTTGAAAAGACCAGGAAAAGGCTAGAGCTTGAAAAGGACGAGCTCCAAGCTGCACTTGAGGAGGCTGAAGCTGGTCTTGAACAGGAAGAAAACAAGGTGCTTCGCGCCCAGCTAGAATTGAGCCAAGTACGCCAAGAGATTGAACGCCGAATTGCCGAGAAAGAAGAGGAGTTTGAAAATACTCGCAAGAATCACCAGCGTGCGTTGGACTCAATGCAAGCTTCCCTGGAGGCTGAATCGCGCGCCAAGGGTGAAGCCCTTAGAATGAAGAAAAAACTTGAGTCGGACATCAATGAGCTCGAGATTGCCCTTGATGGCGCCAACAAGGCGAACGCCGAGGCACAAAAGACGATCAAGAGGTACCAGCAAAATCTTAAGGACACGCAAACAGCGTTAGAGGAAGAGCAGCGCGCACGCGACGAAGCTCGGGAACAGTACGCTATGGCCGAGCGCCGTTGTAATCAGATGCATGGAGAACTTGAAGAAGCTCGCCAGCTTCTAGATCAATCTGAGCGCGCACGTCGTGGTGCCGAGACTGACCTGGCCGAGCTACGCGATCAGGCCGCAGAAATGTCGGCCAACAACGCCTCGCTTTCAATGGCTAAGAGAAAGCTTGAAGGAGAGATGCAAGCCCTGCAGGTAACTTACCTATTCATTGCTGTGTAACGAAAGTATATGCGAGAAATATAGGCATCGTACCAAATGGTTTTACCATGCCCATATGCAGTGTCTTTTGAAAATTTCTTGTAGGAAGCTAAGTACGTCCACTTGCAGCGAACTGTTTATATAGGATTTGAGAAACCAATTGAAGGCAACAAATATTAGTGACTATTTTAATACCTTAGCCATATCACAATTTGCCTGCTTCGTCTATTTCGTGGTTACTTTTATTGAGTGCAGTGTATATATTAAACATTAGTATTCACACATAACATCTTGGCATTTCTAACAAGTTTAAATGCTTTATGTGTTCGTAATGGGATCGTTAGGCTGACCTTGACGAAATGCTCAATGAGGCTAAGCAGAGCGAGGAAAAAGCCAAGAAGGCCATGGTAGATGCTGCACGTCTTGCAGATGAACTTCGCGCCGAACAGGAGCACTCGGCTTCGCAGGAAAAGATGCGTAAGAGTCTGGAAGCTCAAATGAGGGATATGCAGGTCCGTTTGGATGAGGCTGAGGCTGCTGTCCTCAAGGGTGGCAAGAAGCTCATCGCTAAACTCGAACAGAAGTGCCGTGAACTCGAAAGCGAACTCGAAAATGAGCAACGCCGTCATGCCGACTCTGCTAAAAATTACCGCAAGGCCGAGAGACGTATAAAGGAATTGCAGTTCCAGAATGAAGAGGACCGTAAGAACCATGAGCGAATGCAAGACACCGTCGACAAACTGCAGCAGAAGATCAAGACATACAAGCGACAGATTGAAGAGGCAGAAGAAATCGCTGCTCTTAATCTTGCTAAGTTCCGCAAAGCTCAACAGGAACTTGAGGATGCGGACGAGCGCGCCGACCTCGCCGAGCAGAGCCTGGCTAAACTTCGTGCTAAAAATCGCTCCGCCAGCGCGGGACGTGCTACGTCGCCCGCCATCTTCTAAGGCCACCGTGCATCAACAATGGTCGTCGACTGAAAATCCAGCGATATCCCTATTTGGGTTATAGTGTTTGTTTTATTGTTTTAAAAAGGGGACGCTGTGCGGTTCGTTGAAGATGCAGAACAAATAATACAATTACAATATTTTAGACATCCACTATCCAACCAAGTTCTATCCCTGCATAATTAAGCTTGGGCGCCTTTCTTCCACTCATATAATCATCAGTACCGCTTCGTGTTATAATTAGGTCGATCTTAGTGTGCTAGCCAGGCATGCGTGTGTGCGATAATCATATTAAGACATAAATGGAAAAAGAAGGAGCACGAAGTGACAAACTGTCGACGTCCCGTGGAGTTTTAGGATCCATTCCGCTTCTAACTTGACGTGGAAAGGGGACATACATCGCGCTGCTTCACTTCGTCGACATCGAAAGAGAGCCGTTTGTGTCCTATCTCTTCCACGAAGAACAGATGCGGCAGAAACTCAGCACGTTTATCTTCACAGCGCTTTACAAGATACATAAGACCCAAACAAAATACGAACCCCAACGTGGCCTTTGCTACCAACAGACGAAGCTGACGACTATATGGATATGTTCATAATAATAATGACTAGCCAAAACGAAAACATCAACTTGAAAATAAGTATCGGCTTAGCATGCGGCGCCAGGAAACAATAAGTGTCTTCTATTAACATCTGTGCTATTGGCATGACCAGTAGCGTAATACTAGGGAAGAAAGAGAGAGAGAGAGAGAGAGAGATAGAGAGAGAGAGCGAGCGCGACATTGCTGTTAATGCAATTATAGGAATCACAGCGAGTGGAGAAACTGCACAGTTTGGTAATTTCAGTACAATTTGAATAAACGAAGATAAACGGTTGCATCTTATTTGTAACGTACTTTTATTTAAATACCGGTTTTTAAATAAAAGTTTTTTTTTTACTTAAATACCGTAAATAGTAGCGCAAGGTTAACAGTTGTCAATAACTTCATTCATAGAGTAGGTTGACGATAACTTAAACAGTGAAGGGGTAACTTCCGAATCGGGCTAAGTAAGCATACATCTTTGTTTAGTTGGAAAAGTTTATACTCGCTCGAGTTCTAAATAGCTTCACTATTCCAAGCGGACGTTATTCTGTTTATGACTGAAGTATTGTTAAACATATCTTTAAATAACGGGTTTGACTAGGCCTTATTCAAACCTATAGATTATATTAATGCATATAGGACCTTATGCATCTGGTGCATGTGTCATCGTCAGTGCCTTCTAAGGTTCTTAGTCGAACCGTATAGCTCAGATGGATGCATAAATGAGTGTGGTGTTATGGATAAAATTCGTCAAGACACCGAACTCTCGTTAGGTGAATGTCTTGATTACTTATTGCGGGACTTCCAAACTTCGCAAGATCCTACATCAAAAAACGTGGTACCCATAGGCAAGCTACACGTGCATATAAGTCTTTACGTCAACACAATTCCTTGTAGAAATCACACGACGTCAGCCTGCTTTACACTCTTCTAACTCTACTGGCTAGTTCCTTAGGTTGACATTGCTTTTCTGCCTATATTGCCATTGGTTGGCTAATCTGATTACATACCGAGAAAATGAAATACTGCTCCTTACAGTACAACACGACATCCTAAATTTAAAAAAAAAAAAAAAGCGAACCACACACGTGCCGAATTGGTGCCACAGGTTCCTTCGAGGTGGTAGAAGCCCATATGTGTGTTTTATTCAGTCATACTATAATGTGTGCCACTGAAGTGAGGCATCTGATTGATATGGCTCAGGGTAATCCGCCTTTTCTCTCAAAGTTTCCATTTTGTTATTCGGAACCTAATTTAGCCACTGCGCTTCTTAAATTCGACATCTATTTGGAGGGTGGATTTTGAGTAGATTTCAATCTAAGTTTATCCCAGACAAATTTACCATGATAGAAATCAGTGCAGAAGATAAGCCCCTGCAAAAATTAACACCTTAAGAAATCTACTCGATTGTTATTGCCGGTCTTCATGTAGTTTTCGATGACAACATCCATGCGAAGAATCTGAAAATCTCCAAAGGAGTTTAGATTTAAAGGGCTCGAACTTTTTTAACATTGCTCAACGGTCCTTAACACAACTATGTTTTCCATAGTAACTAACGGCCGCTTTAAATAGCAGAATACCGGCTGCTATTTGATTGATCCAGACAAGCATCAAGGGTCAGCCCTATGGAACATTCTGCACTGGTTTGCGCCTTTTGAATTTCGTGGAACTTCGCATCCTCGAATTTACACTTACCAGTATGGCCATACCTACAACTACTATTAAAAACTTACCTGCGGATTAAGAAATGACTGTGCTGAAACTAAGCAGTGAGTAGTTTAGAGTCCGGTTTGAAGCTATTACTACGGCGGGTACTGGTGTATTACGTGTTCGTAATTATCAATAACGATGCTTGTAGCGCATACAAAAAATTTCCTTGAAGCATGTTTTTGTTTATATATAGTCCCACATTCGCCATACGGAACTCGAATTTAGATTCTGCGCCGCAAACATCATGACCAGGTTTGAATAATTATCTTTGGTTTTTCTAGCCAGCTGAAGATGTAATAGTGGCTTGCTCGTACCCGATACTTTTCTGTTAATTCTAGTCCAATGATAGTAATAGCTTACAATAAAAAATCGGACTACAGCCTTTTCTTAGACAATATAACCGGATCCTACGATTTTTTTTTACGAAGTGCCTTAAACTAGTCAACTATGGCACCATGCAAAGTTTTTATAACTATCCCGCCTAAAACATGCAAGGCTTTAAAAAGTTAGTTTTCATGGATTAACCTAGGCTAAGCGCATTCTATACCTCTTCTAACTTAGATCTATTTAGATTTATAATAACTATTTTAATAATATATAATTTATGATAACTAACTAGATCTATAATCACCACCACTACATGTAATTATGGCAAAATAATCTTCAGACAAAGATGCTGCTTAACAGTCCACCATTATCAGAATTTCTCAGTTAACAGTCGAATAAACTGCCTACCAGATATCTGACCCAGTCAAGTTGTTTGAGAAGACGGGCATGACATTTTCATAGACGTCTTAATTTGGCTCGTGTCAACATAGTTGGATGGACATCGGCAAGGGCTGTGACAAAACCGCCGATACTTACCCTAGCATCGTTTTGGCCAGCATGCACAGTAATATATGAATATTGAACAATTTGGTTATTCTTGGAATCGCCAACATGGCCATCTGTTAATAGTTGAGATTGATCTTCCCGATGGTTTGTGTCGTTAGGTCGACAAGACACACACGACGGTTCACTATTAAATTCATTAGACAAGTAGTCTTCACGACGATCTGGGTGCTAACGACGACAACAGGATAGACTACGATACAAAGTGCATGACTACTTTTTAACATGAGGCTTCGAAATCTGCTGTACTTCATGTTGTCAATGGTGATCTAACACTAAGCTTGTGTTGAGTGTTCCATGGTTTCTCTTGCCATGTATATACAGAAGCGGACACAGCCCTTCAGCAATCATAGTTGAACAATGAAAATATCATAATAGATTAAAACGAAATAGTAGAACATTTTCGTGTCGTACTACTACTACGTACGTCATTCTACTGATCCTTCCAGTTAAACATAAGGATTTAAGACATACGACGACGAGCACATAGGGGATAGTAAATAATCAGATAGCGTCATATGCAAAGGCTTACCTTTTTTGCCGATCTTATTTTGTACCGGCAATATCACCAGTGTGGACATCCATGTGAACCTGTGTGGTAACCCTTAAGGTAAGTCCACAAGTGAACATGTAACTCAACGTTGAATTTGAAACGCATATATAAATATATATATATATATACGTTTCAAATTGATATATATATATATATATATATATATATATATATATATATATAAATAATTACAGGTTAGAGCAAATATTGTTTAACAGTTTGAAGGTCTATTACATTTTCTTTTAACCCTCACTTTTATTACACTTAACACTGTTGTTATTTCAACAAATGCAAAATGAAAACGCTCAAATTTTTAAAGGACTTTTACCCCCACTTCGTGTAAAACTTTGTGTATAAAAACTCATCAAATTTTTATATCAAATTATTATTATTATCATTACAGATTATGATTCCTTGCTTTTGTTCGGTTTTCCGTAAATCACAGTCATCATTGCACGCTTTGACCGTTAAATTTGACTTTATGAATCGACCATAGAGGGTTCCGTGATGAAGATCTCAAAATAAAGCACAAGTGTGTGGATGCGTCATGGTCGCCGCAGTTATCGTACTATCTTGTCGTCCCACTGCGGTTATTCTTGTTCTGTCATTACATTATTTCACTGAATTATTTTGACCTATTCCGTTTCTTTGATGTACTAATGTGAACAATTTGATTACTATAATACCGTTATCTTGCTTTGATTCTTTCGTAATCCTAATTTAGGTATTCCGCCCTACTGTTCCGGCCATTTTGTAACATCTTGTTCCCTTATGTCAATTATTTTGCCCCAATAGACAATTTTTTTTTTATCTTGGGCTAAATTGACTAAGAAGGTTAAGGTAAATATGTAGGTTTTTTTAGAACTTGGCCATTTTTAGAGAAGGGCGATATCTACTTTCTTTCAGAGATCAAATTGTATTTTCCTATTTCGTTGACCTAAAAAGTTGAGAAAATTATTCGCAGGTATTCAACCTGTGTTTTTTTCAAAAATTACATTTTTCTCTCAATCCATTTTAAGATTTATGGAACGGACCTTCATATTTATTAGCGCTGAAATATATTTCAACACACGACGTTTTCTTTCTTTATAAACCAATGATGACTAGGTGCTCACAAAAACCTTAACGCTTTTCGTAAAAAAATCCAAAAAAAACAGCTACTATTGGAAGGCAGTCACCTCTCCTGAAGGTTCGCTTGGCTGCACCTAGATTGTATTATATATGTATAATACAATAGGATATACATATACATGTATACACTATATATACATATAGGATAAAGGTATTTATAATATGTATAAAGGTAAATTCGCAACTATAAAAGTTGGTGTTATTTTTCCTTGACTCCAAAGAAACTGTTGAAAAAAATTTTCCCCAAGTTTAAATGTACTTTTACTTTGCTTTCCTCTCGCGCTAATTTTAATATAGGTTTAGTAGCCTTTAATACAGGAACATGTAATTTTTGACCGGGTGGAAATATGTCATTGCCTTTTGTCAAAAATAGCTGTGTTTCCAGCTCAACCCTCCTAGATAAGTTTAGTGCCCTATATAATGAACATAGGTTATAATAGAGGCTCTCTCATGTTCATTATTTACGTGTAGTTTTGATGACTGCTTTGCCCTATGCAAGATCGTCATAAGAAGTCGATCACTTTATTTCACTTTTATGTAGCGGTCTATTCACATAGATAGATCTAGGGAGTCATTGGATCCTACCTCAACCCCTAATTATATTTTTTCTCGGACAAAGTGTTTACGCAGATGATACGGCGTTTCGCATATCAATTGTTACAGTTTTACGCCCTCGATAGAGGGCGTAAAAAGTAAAAAAAAAAAAAGTAAAAAAAGTAAAAACGAAGTAGCTATGGGAAAACCATCATTCTTCCGATAAATAGTCCTAGTTCTAAACATGAGATAGTCTCTTTAATAAACACAACTGTTTGAAGAGACATTAATAAGAGCACGTACTTCAATACACATATGTAGCTTCGTGAAGCATCATAATGATGTTCTACTGGCCTAAGTTCCTAGTCACCTGTTTTTCTTTTTTAGGCAACAACGAATTGAAAAAGGTCGTTGGATAATTCAGTTGGGTTTTTTTTCCTATGAGTTAAACAAGGCTTTGCGCACCTATCCGATAAAGCTCCTCACGCACGGGTTGCTCAGAACAATATACATAGGAACATGGCAGTTCACTCAATGATATACATCTAGCAGCGTTTCGCGGCTCAAACATTTTCGTGTTGGTCATTTTTATTGATGGACCCGTCACCTACCGATATTATAGACTGCTTACATTATATAGATATGATGCGAATCGATGTTGTGTTCTCCAATTGGGTCAGCCGTTCTACGTAACTCCGCGAGCCGCCCTCCCTGCGCACCGAGGTCCAGCAGCAGAAATAACATAGGAGGCAGGCTACAATGATGGCTATGACGCACCAGTTACATCTGAAGCTGCATTATCTCCCACATTCAAGATTCGAAACAATGCACGTCAGCTTCATGTGGACGACGACGACGACGACGACGACGATGACAACGAAAAAGAACTCAACGACTCGTGTCTCGTTGCGAAGCTGCCTGAGGTTGCTACGTATTCTTTTTTCTGAGAGAATCTTTCTTGGCTTGAATACAAAACACCCAGAATACCTGCATCGACATGCCTATTCTCTTCTCTATGGCCTTGTCTGAGTTAACGGCGTCGGTAGTATGTCGTCGCGTGACGAACAGCAAGCACCTATGGTTGGCCTACCCGCTTCATTGGCTAACCAGCAACGCTGACATGTGTCAAAACGCTGAAGCGTAACGTCTTAACGAAAGCGCCATCGATTGACATAACCTTCTTCAGCAGAATGAGCGAAATTATGGTTGACTATACAGCCAAAATAAGGACTGTATTGAACTGATAGATGATAAGAATCAGTCGAACTGAGGTATATGCATGTAGTGATTCTAGACTGGTGTGTCAATGCATATTTTTCGATTACGTACTGTATGATGCATATATAACGACCTTACTGTACATTAGCGGATAGCTAAACGAGCGGTCAAGATTATTTCGTATGCTACTTACTAATATATATACCTTTTGGTTGGCTTAATATGATCGAAGCAAAATTGTCCTTGGTACTACGATAGGGAAATTTAAAAATGCTTGTAAATTGTTTATAGATAAATTAGGCAGGATTATTATGTGCCTTTTCTTTGAGCCATACTACTTTCTTCATGCAGTGAGTCACAAGGTGCACATAGAGAATATTAGAATTTTATTTAGCTAGTAAAACTCCGTCCTGCATAAAGTCTTTGTACGGCCTATTCATTCATATGATGGCAGCACGAAATACATAACGAGAGAGCTTTAACGAAATCAAAGTGAATTTTTTAATCTACAGATTCTTAATCTTTTCTTCAGTTTTAATATTGATATGGGGTGGGGGCAATGCTTAAACAGCATGCTGTAGATCTCACCTAATTTTTACTCGACTTGAGAGTACCTAGTTTCCACAGAGGATTTCGGTTTACGCTCGCTGTGACCTAGTCAATTAAGTACTTCCAAAACATATGCGCCATACTTTTCTATTGTAGTATTACTCTAAGGACAGCTATCGCGACTCTTAGGCTAACAAATTGCAATTTCCATGCTCAGAGTAGAATATGAACCTGCCTTGAATGTCCACAAATCGCCTAAATGTCGTCATATGGGCATAAACATTTCATTTTTGAAATTGTGTCAAATTGCTTGACAATATTACCGCGCGTGAGATACAAAAACGTATTTTATACACCACAGTTCTGCAGTGGAGTATCTTATCGATTGGCTATCTTTTACGAGCACTCAATGAAGAACTTTGGAATCATTATATTCTACCAGAGTATAATAATTCCAAACGAATATACTTACTATGTTCAAGTATTTGCTACTAAATGGGGGCCACTGTGTCCTTACTAAAAGGGATCGTCTACAATGAAATCCTACAGACAAATAGCCGGATGGCAAAGAGCCAAAGTACATACTAAGAGAATATGTTTTATAGATAGCAAAGGCCAACATCCTTAATCTTGGTCGCAATGAAAACCTCATTAGTATATATATTCATTGCCCCTCTTTCAAACTTTACCGAGCATATGATTTAACACTTCGTGTGGCGTTTGTAAAGCACCTCTTATATTGTTCTGTGTCAGCTGAATTAGTTATGTTGAATTTTAACAGTTGTTTTCGTTATACAGGGGATCGATGACGGACAGTATTTGTCACAGCAGCTCATTCAGCTTGTGGTTGCGTTGCGTAAATCATCAGACCTATAGACTACGTATCTATACGTAGTTACTATATGACGCCTTCTTCCCTGATGCAGCTTTTCATTCGTGACTGTGTATTGTTGCGTTTGTATTGAAACAGCCAGGGTAACACTCGGATAATTCTCAGACGTACTTGGAAACAAACAGATCAGTGATTCTTCGTCAGCGGGTTAGAGCCCAGAGCCTTCTTTAGGAATGCAGGTTTGATCCTGCTTAGGAATAACTAACTAGGTAGTTTCTACCATAATAATTGTGCGACGTACCATGCCATCTGTAGCTTTAGCGCATTTTTCAGGTACGGTCATAAACGAATCATTTTTAGAAATTCGCACCGGATGTCAAAGCAGAGCTGGCTTTATACGAATATGTTCTCAGTTTATAATTGAAGTCGTTCTCATGCAATCGTTACTTATTGCTTTGTTAATGTTTTAGCCATTAATTGAATCACAGATTTTAGTAATAATCTATGCCTCTCTGTGTTTGGTTGCGGAGCGTGATGCAATAATCAAATCTTGCAGAAGTCAGCCCCATTTAATAAGCACCTATCAAGTGGTCAACCGGGCCATATTTTTTTTTCTTCCTAAAAGCCGTTTGTGACTTGTCCAAGTTGATCGACGTTTCAGAAATTTATTGTTCGATTTCTGTAAAATGTCTTTCTTTACTGCCTCTCAATTAACCATAAATCAACATGTGCTATAGATAGCTAGAACCGTTCTACGAATGGTTCGTAACTGCCAGATGCCTTGATCACTATCCTCTATAAATATAAGGCAGAACGGCAACTTGGACATGTGGTACTCTCAAGCCGACTAATCAGATCGGGTTAGGTATTGTTAACGAACCAATGTCACTCATCTCTCCTTGATAGTTGTACGATGTCCTTCTATAAGTCAAAACGAACGTATTTTGAGGCACCGCAATAAACATCCGCAACGGCTCTTACCTACCGCTATTCCGGTCTCTTGCCAGTAACTTCCCTTTTTGCAGGACAACTTTCCGTGGTTAGAAATGTTCTGTTCTGCAATGTTCGAAAGTTAACTTTAGTTAAATTTAGTCAAAATACAAGTACGGGTGGACATGGTCCAGCTTCCACAGGCGCCAAGGATCACTAATTTAAGGTTCTTCTAATAATGGTAATTGTGGCTGTCAACATAATTCCCGCTAAATTGCAAACATTGATATGTTCTACAGATGATCGCATTCCGTTCTCTAGATGACTAGTCTACCGTTAACGCACTACGGTTTAATCCGTGTGGAGCGAAAACGCCTGTCAGTAGCAGTAGTAATTCCAGTATCCATATTCGTAATAATAAAATAGTACGGAAAATTCGAGCCAGAAAGTATCAACAAACATGGCTATGACATATGGTATCAGCTAAGCAGTCGTAAGGTGTTAACCTAGAAGCCGTCTTTTTGGGTTCAATGAAAATGGATAACATTCAGATGCCATGTCGATACAGAAACCAACGTTTGATTTTCGGATTTCTAACGGTTCGATAATTTGAGTCATTGCTACTTCGGTTTCGAGACTTCACGACACGGCTGGCTCTCCAGTCATAGGTATCATTTTGCCCAAGTACCAAAATATCAACCAACCCTCAAATAGACAAACCCGTTATTCATCGCTTAGTTCGCGTTAGTGGGTGAAAATGTACCATTATTTAACGATAGCACGATGCAAGCATATCCGTTGATTATTTTATCTAATGATGTAGAAGAAGTATTTCGAAAACGAGATCACCAATCGAGATCAAACGAGTTATAGCTTTATATACACTCAAGGGAAGCACTGCGTTGTATCAAACTCACTTGAGCGAGTATACATGAGCCATGGACCAGCTCCGTAAACCACTCCTATCTAAATCTTCGTAGAAGACTACTCGAGTGATTCAATAATCCATTGTTTTCGAGTTCTACTGCATTAATCTCAACTGAATGTTTTTATTTTCCCCAATCTCCGATTGGGTGTGCGAATCGTCGACGCATGTTCGTAATTATGTCTTAATCTACATTTTTTTTTCTTTTTAAACTGATACGACCAAAAGTAAATAGTATTCGAAATATTGGCCTTACGTGACGCTCGGTTCGTTACCAGCGTAAGCTCGTCACCTGTATGAAGATCCTTCTAAGGGGCTGTTTGATGGTTCTCCGCTGTTACGATATTATTACTCTAACAACATCCGTTAAAGGCCTAAAATCTATTTAGTTTTGCAGCCAGTTCTGCCGGTATATGTTTGCAAAGGTTACTGGTGACAACCTACATGAATTGCGGTTGACCTACACAAGAGCAAGGTAGGTTACATTCGTGTATAACTGTGACAATGAACATACAGCGTATCTTAAAAATAGCCTACGAAAGACCACTACGTTATTCAAGAATTGTCCGAAAGCAAATGTCCGTTGTTTCCATAATCATGGCAAACATTGATACCTAAATTGCACACCGTAAATCTTAGACATGTACCCAACAGCTTCACTTGTAGCTTCCAGTCGGTAGATATGCAAGGCTTCTACAACATTGTATGTCAAAACATACCCAATAGCTTTTTCTGCCTTGTCTGACGACACTTCATGGAATATCATCACAGACGACATCTCCAGCTGCCTGAGACTCTACCGTCTTGTTCGATGTTTTCTTTCTTGTCGCTTTGAGCAGTTTCTCGCTGGCTTTTCCTGCCGCTTTCAACCGTTTAGCAATTTCCTTAACTCTGTCTTCCTCTTCCTTTAAAAGCATATCACCCGTGTAATTATTATGGAAATGCCATCACTAATTTTGCACGATTTAGCTTATTAAATGGCTATGACAATCTTGTTATTTCGCCGAGGCTGAGGTTTGGCATTATATCACATGTGAAAAATCATCATACCTACCAGTAAATGTTAACATGCAAATCCTACAATATATAGCAACGATAAAATAGGGTAGACATGTCCTTTCGCCTTGCGTATACCTTTTACTAACTGATCCGCGTCATCCTGTGGTCTAAAAATATTTTTTTATTAAACGACTGGCTCTGGTTTGTCCGATAAGCTGGGAGTACAAGCAAGAATAATTTTATTTGAATATCCGTGTGAGAAACGTCGAATTTCTATTGCGAATTCTCGACCGAGTGTTGTGTGCTGAAGTGAAGCACACTGTTGTGCATTAGCAACGTCAGCATAGATCAAAATTTGGGGCGGGTTTGGCAATGCGAATTTGTCAAACGATTGAACAGTTTGTAAACTACCCGCCACTATGGCGCAATGGGGCACAGACGATTTATCAAGCTTAACCTTCGATCGATTATTTGATTTTTCAGACCTAACGAGATTCTAACAGCCACTACCTTTTGTTTTTGCCTCTCCCATTGAGCTTTTCGTTTCTCCATAAACTTTTTAGCTTTGTCGCTCATTTTTTGGATGATTTCCCTTCGTAAAATTGCCTCTTCCTTAGCGTTTTGCGCTTTTTTCGTGTAACGGCGAATCTTCTCCTCACGTTTACGCATCCGTTTTTCGCCTTTCTGAACCTTCTTGCGTAGTTGCAACTGTTCGGGCGTGACTGGATGCTCATCTAGTCGAGGGCAATAAGACGTGACCAACCGGACCCAATCCTGTCAATGAAAAATGCCATGTACGCGTATACGCCCGGATGTGGGTAAAGGTCGTAAAAGAAAAAAACACGGAGCGGTAATATCATAGCCTGCCAGGCCCGAAGTTCCGAGTCCGCCATAATAAGATATAATTTGAAGAAGCATCACACCAACGTAAACATACCTGTAATGTGCGTACGAGGTTTTGGGCTAACATCAATCCTTAAATCTCACTGATATATAATAGTTGTATATTCGCTTAATGGATAGCCATTTAAAACACCTTTCAAGTAAAAGGGCTGCGCAAGATAGTGGTTTACTATCAACTCTGGTACTTCATTTGTAGAATAAATGACCCAAAATGTTTTTGTCATACAAAAAACACTTCATCGATGATAGCTTACGAACTTAGTTCTTCGAAAAGCTCTTGTTGCAGAAACAGGCACACTCTACAGGCATGTCTGTATTTGTTGAAATACAAAAAGCTATACATTTCGCTCGCAGATTAAAGTTGGATGCTTCTAGACACATTTTTCTAATAGGTACTACTTACATTATGCAGTTATACTAATGGTAAGACAAATGTCCAAACCACAGAGAAACAGTTGCACCAAATGTTCAATTGTAAAAAATACAGGAGCACTTTTTATGTAATTTTTATTATTCTTTTTATTAGTTTTAAAACAATTGAATGTTAAAATGTTCTTACACAGCACACCAAGAATTTTGTCTTCTTGGGCGTACCATCTTCCCCAAAACATTCAGTTCCTGCTGCTGAAAACGACGAAGCAATCTGCACTTCGTGGGACCTATCGTATTGCTAAGATGCATAGTTAACTGACATAAGATTATCTTAAATACTTTGAATGAACAGGAAATACAACGTTTTTTTTACGGTTTTTACCAGGATTTTGTAGTTCATATCGAAGTTAGGTATCTTTACATGCAGATATCATATATAATAATGCAAGCTTATATCTATATCTTGCATTATACCTATATGTAAGATTTGTGAATATCATTGACGCAAGCCTTTAATTTTGAAAGTTCCTTAAAAATTATTGGGGAATCCGTTTTGTTATGAAGTCGCAAGATAATTTCAAATCGTGTTTTAATTTGATCCTTAAATTTTTTTGACGAGCCTATCTATTAATATTAATCTTCTTTTCCTACATGCGGCCTTATAATAGGATTCTCGACAAAATTAATTCTCGACGAAATTCTTGGAATCATATTGACTTCCTACATAATGTGCCCCACTTTTAAGAGCCTCGCTTTTAAGTACCTTATTCACAAGCGGTACCATAACACGACATCCAGCATTCGCAGAAATTTAGTTTCTCAAAGTGGGTCCTCTTCGTATAAAGCACACTCATCAAAATCCGGAACCTTATGCAACATGTACAGGGTGTAACTGCTTTCGACTAATGATAGCTGTCGATCCGTTGAGGTCGTGCTCATCAGAAATAGCATAATACTTAATGGACAAGACGACAACTAAAAAATGTTCAAGACATCGTTAGTTGTAAATTTTCACTAGATCACATTTTTTTACCTTCTCGAAGTCAATGTCGAAAATGCGTTCGATTTCATGCACACTTATAGTCTGCTCCATAAATTCGTCACAGCAAGCTCGCGTCCGCTTTCCGTCGCTCGTTTGAGGCACGGCACTGCAGCCTGGTGAGAAATTAACCTTTTTTTCTCCTGTGCATTCTCCGGCCTCGTTCACCGTCATGTCTGCAACGGATTTCTGCAAACTGCTTATCACAGCGTGCTCAAATAAGTCTACACTCTCCTGAATCGACGTTGATGAAATCCTGGGAGTAATTAAAGAAGGCAACGAATCCGATGCCTGCAAACAACAGTTAGTGCGAGAAACTGGTTTGACGAGCAGACATTACACACACAATACGACTTGGTCATGTTACCTATCTCCAATTATCTAAAAGCTAAATGAAACCCATTGGGCTTACCTATTTTTGACCAATTTTTTTCAGTGGACCAGGCATATTTAGTACCGACTAAGGGTAATCATTAGCGGCAGGCCGAAATAAATTTCGAGTTAAATTTGAGTACTTAAGCCGTTAAACATAACCGCATTCCTGTACGAAATGAGTCCGCTTTTGTGCTTAAAACATCACTTTTTCGTAAGTTTAGTAGACAGACTCGTAACGACTGAATGAATTGAATCATTAACGAAGACGCCGAAGTGCAGTTATACTCTTTATACCCAGTGTTATTTTGCAAAGTACGCTTCTTCAGTACATATACTCCGTCAGTCCTACAGTTCTAAAGTCACAAGCGTCAGTGTAGTGGATTACTAATCGATCTGCTATATTTATCCTGTAGCACTTGAAGCATGCAGTTCCGAGTGGTTAATACATCATGGGAAAAACTTTCCCAATAGTCGAAAGCGAAACGTCAGAACGTAGCCGAGGTACACAATGATCACAAAAAATTACTTACACTATAGTTCCTTTCACACTCGTCGAAGCCCTCACCTCCGTGCAATTTGCTGGACACGCACGGTCTGGTTTTCCCATCACCTGTTTTCTTGTGGTAAACCCCTTCGACGAAGCTATGCACTGAAATGATCCGTAAGGATTAGATAATGTATCCATCACCTTGTTAGCCATCTGAGCATGCATATCGATTGTTTAGCGTAAAAAGCCGTCAGATACAATATCAGGTACCGTTCGCAGTATTAAATCTAATCGTCTGTGCATCTTCAGTGCGTCTAAAGCGTTGATCCTCCATAGGCTCCGCACGCTTCGTTTCCATTTGCAAACAGAACCTCTACCGCCGATTGACATCGATTGCATAACTGAACAAAGACAGACTGGGCGGAAGCTGGATGAAATACTCCAACCTTTAGGCAATATGAGCGGCTTGTTTCAGCTTTATGCGGGCTTCCATTCGATGACTCTCAAAACTTCTTCAAATAGACCTAAACGAGTTTGAGCACCATTTAAATATAGCCTTGTCAATATACGGCCATCCCAAATTTCCATAGCATTATAGCTATAGAGGTACTTAGGGCCGATCAGCCAATAGATACTAAGCTACAACTGAACGTTCCTCACATGTAAAATTTTCTTGATCCTACTTGTGGGTTTGATGTCGCATATGATTCAACAGCTCTCTCGAGCTCCCCTATCTGTCTGTATTGTTTGCGTCGAAAAGAAAACGCAAGATTTCTGCAATAAAATAATAGGGATAAAGATAAGGTCGTATGTACGAGCAGACCGACCCTATGCCAAGGAGGATTATCCAATGTTGCTTAACAGTTGCCTCCTTTTAAAAGCTAGTGCATAGCACCCGATAATAATGATTATGGTTCGGTACCATAATCCGTCGAATTCTTTTTTTAGGAACAAAGATACCCTGCGAAATAGTATTTACGCAGAATCTCGGTGATTATAAAACAAAAAAATAATAAGCATACATCTATATGGTCTATCTATTTTAGCCAATAATTACACTACAAATATACAGATATGTATCTGTACTCGTGGCTTATATATACCTTATGAAAAAAGTTACCAGCGGATATATAAAAAAAAATTGAATTCCCTATATAGGACTTCTTATACAGATCCTATACGGACCTGGCCAAAAACCCTTTTTATGTAGCAATAATGCACTTACTTATCATTGTACATGCATTACATGTATTACCAGTTTTAACACAGTTACTATACTATGCTGATAATTACACTATTAATTAATAAATTAACTTGTCACCCATTTTCTTCAGATTGGTCTGTTTATATCCATCCAGAACCTCGTTATCAAATCAATAGCTGAGATAGTATGGTACTACAGAAAGCTTAAAACCACAGATATTTTAAACAACAGTAAGTACGAAGATATACAAGACAAAATTTGCAAAGGTTATTTTCACAAACAGAACACATACATATTATATCTTCATTTCAGTGGAATTACTAGTGAACACGCCTTGATACAATTGACCGTAAAAACGCACATTTCAGGTGCAATATAGCACAAAGTATAATTTAAGAAGAGGTGCTGTTTATCGGCGCCCCTTTGAAGAGTTTGATTTGATTCAGAAGTGAGTATTCTAGAGTTAAACGACAGATTTCTTGCATATTATTAATTAGAATCGGCATACTAAGTAAAAGCGTTCTCAGTAACTTATTCAAAAGATATAGCTATTTAGCAAGTTGCTCCATTAGCAAATATGGCGGACATTTCAGCTAGCTCGAACCACTAAAACCCAATTCTGCAAACTGACATCAAATGGTTTTCGTCTTGACAAGTATAGTAAGGTCCTAAAATTCAATAAATAAAATAAATCAAAGTATAATGGTTGAAATAGGTACAATGTAGTACAACAAAAACTTCCAAACGGTATGGACCTGTGTGGGAGCTCCGCTTATATTCGCACCATCCGACGCAATCGCGAGACAACGCCCTCGTTCTTACCGAAAGAACGAGGAGTGCGATCCAAGACGCGCTGTTGTTAACGGGATGATTTTATAAGGCCATGCAATCTACACACATTCCAGCCGAACGCAAACCCTTGGATCTTTCCCGGGACACTGGGACTCGACCGGATGGCTTGATGTCAGCATCGTGTACAAAAACGCCATTACTTGCCTAAGCCGCCACTGTCGCCTGTACTTTTGCGTAGTCATGCACCGTAGCCTGCAGCCGAAGAGCCTGGTATGTTGCTAAAAACGCAGGGAAAAGGAAGTCACGCACCTGCCGAAACCGCTTTAACATACGCACACCATGCAGTCAGTAACAATCGAAACAACAGAGGTGTAGCGTAATATCCAGAACAACTTTTTAGAGAACTAGATAAAAGCATTATTTGTTCTACAGAACACAATGAAGTACCGAAATTCGTTTACAAAAGATTTCATTAGAAATTCTAAAGGTAACTGTAGTATTGATGACAGGCTCAAGGCAACTTTCCAAGAGTCTTTTCCCGGAACTCGAGTGATTCAACTACGTACACAGAATTTTTAAAACTATGAAATAAATTAGTTGTTTTACCTAGTAATTCTCCCAAAAATTACTGGTCATTTTAAAAATTCCTTGCTGTTTACTTTATACTACTGTGTATTTACTCACTTGTTCGAGTTTAAATTATTGACCGATCACCTCTAAGTTGTTATCGTTATTCATTTCGCAAGAGTGAAGCGTGATCGGTTGGGTTTTTTTGGACATGTTTTAGGTTAGTATAAACATTTCTTTTGCATGAACAATGTAAACGGGAAATGATCGTTTGAAATATTGTAGTCGGACAAGGAGGAACCTCATTTATATCCCCATGTCCGTGTTTTCAGTATGCTCTATTCATTTTCTATTACATTCTTTACAATTTGGTCTCCAAGTTACTGAAGGCAAAACAAAATCATAGCCTAAACAGTTCTCTCTAACAATGAGGCACATTTGTTGTCTGCCTTACATACATAGAAAAAAATATATGCCAAAACGAACCTGAGACTTTTCCTTTCGAGGACATAAATTTACGTAATTGCACATACATTTATAAACTATTACAGTATCGTCTGAAACAGTTACATTTGCATATGTTGAACGACCACCATAGAGATCGTTCCTAAAATCGAATGAAGTTGTATTTTACGGCTTACTTCATTGCATTGTAAAGCGAGCTTCCATTAAAGGAAAATTGTTAATTAAAGAAAAATTAAAGGAAAAAGTTCCCGTTTCGTTTCGGCACCGAGAACTTCGGTTTTCGATTTTAATGTTATTATCATCTAACGTATCGTAGCCTCAAATTGACTCCGCAGCAGTGTTTAACGGATCTCAGTTTTCATCGTCGTTATTGTACAAGTTATCAGGTATAAGTTGTTTGATACAAAATGATTTACAGCTAAAAAGATGTAACTTACAAAAGAATGCATCTGTAAACCTCTGCTTTCATCGAACACAATCGAAACAAAAATAACGATTTACTTGATTAACTCTTGCTTATCATTAAGGCGTCTATCATTAAGAAACATTGAAATACTGTAAATAAGTAAAGCAAGCAACGTAAATAAGAAAAGAAGGAGGAAAAAAGAGAAAAACATTAGCTGTTTACTACTGTATGAGCTGCACAAGACGAACGTACACATAACTATTTGCACCTGTAAGAAACTCACTTTTGGTTTTCAATTCCATCTTCAATATCGTTACACAAATCCAGTAGGGCTTCCTTCTCGAATAGTGTTCAACGCATGTATATGTTATCACTATTTAAAAAATATGTAATCTCGGAATGGGTGAGAAAAACGGGCTGGAGCTTTTCTTAGAAGGAGAAAAGCGAGGGCATTCTCTTCATCGGAAAAAAGAACGTGTGCGGAAATCAATCTCCATTCATTGAGGCGACAGATTAAGATGATAAAGGCTGCTAGATACCTGGGTATACACCTAGACAAGGAACTTAGTGGCCTACTCTTTCTTAGGACGACTAAGGTCAACGCCGTATCAACGGGGTGCAGACAAAGGCTTTTGCTGTCGAACGCCGAATCAATAGGGCTCTTCGATTTTCCAGTTTGGTTCGGATCATTTACTAATTTCAAAACAAGCAAGATAAAAAGCTTTTCCGTAACGCACTGCGAATTCCCCAAGCATATAGGACTATCAGTACGTCAGCGGTTCTTTTCTAGGCCAGAATATTTTCGTAAAACTTGGAAGTCGAAAGAAGGAAGCAACTAGCGTTGGCCTGGGCTCGGGATACATGACCAGATCCCAAATATCAGGAAGAGCGGGAACGCCCTAGAGGAGAGAATGTAATACAGGTCAGTGTGGGCCATAAAGATTACCCGTCATCAGAGTTAAAAAGGCCCTATCTGAAAATCAAGGGGTCGAAAGTACCTCTGTGCGCCAGTTACTAACCCATCTCGCTTTGGAAGCTGTAAGGACAGGAGTCAGAGACAGACTTTGACTATGTAAAACAGAGATGGTACACCTTTTAGAACAAGATCCGCTTTTGAGCTGCCTGGAACAAAGCTAACATGGAGTTTACGGGGACTGCTATTTGGTCTGAAAACGCGGAGGGATCGCAGTAAAATGTTTTGATGGAAAAGAGTGCTTCGGACAGCAGCGAAGAACGAGATTCTTCCTCAAGACATTCGAATTTTGGGTTCACCGGTGTTAGGACATCGTGGGTCTAATAAGATGGGAACCTGGAAATGACCACGGCCGATCGATCCATAGGCACCCTCTACTTCTCCTGCCAGTCCGTACGCGATTCAATTGAATTAAATTCTTAGGCACAGAAGTCATGAACAGGTTATTGACGACTTAGTATGATACGCCACTACAGAGCATACTTGAACGTACTTGCTTTGTAAAAGTCAGTTCCCTAAAATGTCGCGTCTCGTTAAGTTCATGTCGTTTCCGCCTGCTGCTTTTGGGTCATATATACGTCTTCTATGTTGAGATCCTGTTCACGTTATCTGGTTTATACTCATTGCAAAAATGGCAAGTACTATGGTGGGACTTCCGTAGGGTTATCAAAACGAAATGCACACACAGTAGCCGTAACATCTTCGTAGTTCCACCATTCCAAAAAGGATAAAGAGAGATACATAGAGGATAACGGCAGAAATGCACATAGTGAAGAATGTTATAACGGAGACTTGAATAGAACTTCATAAATATGGGGTTGTAAAAGCAAATTCCCGTGACGACTTTAGTTAGTATCTTCAAACACGTCGTTGCGTAGGAGATGCTATATACTAAGGTATGCACTGGACTTCAGCGACAGGTGAATCTACTTCGATCCTAAATGACATAGATGTGGAATATTTGTCAGATTCTTTCTATCGATCTCTTCGTAAATTTTAAGACAGACAAAAAACAATTAACAATTTAGAACCGGAGCGTCATGTTGCTGTTGGTAATATAAGTGTGTAAACTAAAGCAGTTAGGACAAAAGCCGAGCAATTCATGAGGTGGATAATGCCTTATAGATCTAAATGATTATATACAGGGGCCCAAGCAAGCCTCTCAGACCTATAGCACTTCCTTAAGGTGGGGCTCAAAATTGAACCATATCTCATTCTCGCAGACTATAATGAATATCTTCAAGATTAAGGTTACAAACGAAACCTATAATAATATTATAATTTTTAATATTAAATATATAATATCTAGAATTTTAGCCGATACTACCCGTGTTCCTTCACATTAATATGGTTCATTAACGATATTCTTCCCTCCAAAATCAAGAGCGAAGACGTTTGACCTTTTTTTCTTCCTCATTAACTGGTTTCGCGCAAAAGGGGTGGCGAAGCC